GGTTGTGTCATGTGAACCTCATGAGTGCACTTACACAAATTTAGATGGTATGGCCTACTCCACACCTAGGTATAGCCTACCATGTCAGGGTCCTGACCCGGGACAGGGTATTTTAAGACCTGTGGAAACCATTGTGTCTGTAATGCAGTTTATATCTCTTTGTTTCTGAGCTTGCCTCACAATCTGACTGTTGTTACAGAATGGTGCTCCCGTCACTCTTCCTCCTTTTAAAGCTGTAACCACCACCAAAATACAAGCTTCTGAAAAGAGGGATCTATACTATACCTGGTCTGTTATGGTATTCATACTCATCCCCACCACCACACACAAAAAGGTTTTCCATACTAACTTGTACATATCAAGTCCCAAATAAATGTTCACTAAATGAAAACTATCACACAGAGATTCCTATTGGTAGTATTGGGAGGCAGAAGGTTGCAGGGAGAGAGCATAAGCCAAGATCTGGCTCTGCTTTTACAGACCAGGTAGCCCTGGGCCTCAGATTCATTCATTGTAAATGGAGGTAGTAAGAATGCCTTTCTCAGGAGTGTTTACACATGAAAAGAACTTAGAGGATAATAAGCACTCTACACATATCACTATTGTTATGGTCTACCTGAGAATTAAACACTGTAACGTCTGTACCCCATGATCCCCATGATTGCATTAATGATTTAATAAAAAAAAAATCTCATATACACTAGGGACTAAATGTGCCTAACCAGTCATGTTGATATGAATAATTCATTGTGACTTTTTCTTCTTCCCTCAAATTTATTACCTCTTTTATTTATAGAAAACACTTGTAAGATTATCATGACACCACTCAATGGGATGAATTAGCTGTGTACTCTTCCATGTTTTGTTAACAAGAAGAAGAGTCATTTTTGATGTTTTAAAATAGTATCATTGTTGCCACTATTATCCCAGTTCTTGTGGTGTGTGTCTAGGAGATAAGCTCCTCTACATTTAAAAAAGAAGTGTCATAAATTTGTTGGATAAAACTCCGCTTCTTCTGAATTTGCACTAGCATCATTTTCTGGCAGAGTTTTACACACAGATAGTTATTTATAAATGTTGTTGACCTGATTCCAGTTGGTTCTTTACCCGGATAATATAATTAAATGGGAAATATTGTGACTCAAAAGATTAGTTCATTTGCATCATTTAATGCATACCATGCCAAAAATAGCAAGGGATGTAAATGGGGCAGTTACCATTTTTGCGCACATTTTTTTCCTTACCAGTGAGCAAAATCAGGCACCTCTGTGGTGCAATGTTTAATATTACCTTTGATTTCCCACATTCCTCTATGAGGAATTCTTAGAGGAATTTCCCAAGGCATCATGCCACTTCAGATGAGAGTGTGGAGGAGACAGGGGAGTGAGAGGAGGAGACAGATTAGAGAATTTCTCCTCCCTTTTCTCAGCATTTGAGAGAATTTTCCTTTGCCAGTTGGGGATCATGCTGACTGAAAATGGCTGGTTATCTGTTAAATCAATACATCCCACCATATTGACATACTCTTAAACCTTAAAAAAAATAACTCTTGTAGGTAACATGCTCATCTATGAAGAAAATACCAAAGAATCAATAACAACAAACTTCTGAAACTCAAAGTGATCCTAGTAAGGTTTCAGAAGGCCCAGTATCATGGCTCACATCTATAATTCTAGCACTTGGGGAGACAGAGGCAGGAGGATCCCATAAATTCAGGAGTTTGAGACCAGCCTGAGCAAGAGCAGCACCCCATCTCTACTAAAATTAGAAAAATTAGGATAGTCGGCCTCCATTTGATCCTGCAATTCTATTACTAGGTATCTACCCAGAAGAACAAAAATCATTTCACCACAAAGACTTTTGCACCAGAATGTTTATTGTAGCTCAATTCATACTTGCCAAGTTGTGGAGCAAACCAAATGCCCATCAACCCATGAATGGATTAACAAACTGTGGCATTTGTGTACCATGGAGTACTATTCAGCCAGAAGAAAAGATGGAGACTTTACATCTTTTATGTTTACCTGGATGTAGCTGAAACACATTCTTCTTAGTAAAGTAGCTCAAGAATGGAAAAAAAAATCTAATGTACTCAATACTAATATGAAACCAATATATAACCAATTACATGCCTGCACAAATGTCAAAACACAAATATAGTCTAGCAAGGGGGCGAGGAGAGAAGGGGGAGAAGAAGGAGAAGGAGTCGGGAAGGGGGAGGGTGGAGTGCATTGCCGAGATCTCACCTAATGTGCACAATGTGAGGGTGTTCAGCACGTCCCCTGGGTGAAGGGCTCTACTACAACTTGAACTTTACCTTGGAAGTAAGAACAATGTAATCTAAAAAGTATACTTGCATATTAATTTAAAATAAAAATAAAATAAATTAGAAAAATTAGCTGGGCATTGTGGCAGGTGCCTGTAGTTCCAGCTACTCTGGAGGCTAAGGCAGGAGGACTGCTTAAACACATGAGTTTATAGTTGCTATGAGTTAGGCCTTATGAGATATCTAATCTGGAGCAATAGAGTAAGACTTTGTCTGAAAAAAAAATGGTTGTAGTAAACAACTGGAATTTCAAATTAAAGCACATTATTTATGGTAGCATTAAAATATAATATTTAGGTATAAATCTAATACCTATTATTAGAGCACAGGAGCACAGGATTTATTGAAGGGAAAACACAAAACTCTAATAAAAGAAATCAACGAGGGCAGTGCCTGTGGTTCAGTGGGTAGGGCACTGGCTCCATGTACCAAGGGTGGCGGGTTGAAACCTGGCCCCAGCCAAATTGCAACAAAAATAGCCAGGTGTTGTGGTGGGCGCCTGTAGTCCCACCTACTTGGGAGGCTGAGGCAAAAGAATCGCCTAAGCCCAGGAGTTGGAGGTTACTGTGAGCTGTGATGCCACAGCACTCTACCAAGGGCAATAAGGTGAGACTCTGTCTCTGAAAAAAAAAAAAAAAAAAGAAATCAATGAAAGATCTAAGTAAATTAAGAGGTGTTTCCTGGAAAGGGGTAAGAAAACTCAGTATTGTTAAGATATCAATTAAGATGTGAGTTGAGATGTCTCACTAGATATAGATGGCAATATGGATCTGAAAAAATGCTCAACATCAGATGTCATTAAGTCATTAAAAATTAAAACAATAATGAGCTATTACAACACATCTGTTTGAATAGGCAAAATTTTAAACACAAATGCAAACATGAAGATCTAATTCATTCTTGGTTAGAATGCAGAATGATAAAGTAACTTCGAAAGCTAAGTTTGGCAGTTTATACAAAGCTAAACATAGTCTTAACATGTGATCCAGAAATTGTGTTCTTAGTTATTTACTCAAGTTGAAAATTTATGCCCACACAAAACCTAAACGTACATGTTTATATACACTTTATACATAACTGCCGAAACTTGGAAACAACCAAGACGCATCCTTCAGTCAGTGAACAAATAAGCTGCGATCTATCCATTCAATAGAATATTATCCAGAAATAAGCAAAACTAAGCTATCAAGCCACAAAAGTCCTAGAACTTTTGACGCACATTACTAAGTGAAAGGATTCAATCTCAAAAAGTTACCTACTACATGATTTCAACTATAGGGTATTTTAGAAAAGTCAAAACTACAGCAACAGAAACAGATCAAGGGTTGCCAAGAGTTCAGGGCAAGAAAAGGACAAGTGAATCAGCGGAGTGTAGGGGATGTTTAGGGCAGTGAAGCTATTCTGTATGATACCATAATCATGGATATATAATATTATATATTTATCAAAACCCATAAAACTGTACAGCACAAAGAATGAACCTTAATGTCAACAAAAAACGTGAATAATTGGTGTACCAATATTGGTTCATTATCTGTAACAAGTGTACCACACCACCATAAGATGGTAATAACAGGGGAAACGGCAAGGGGAGGGGGAGGAACTACGAATTCTGTACTGTAGGATTAAATTTTTGGTAAACCTGTAAAACTTTTCTATAAAATACGATCTATTAATTAAAACCCTTTTCCCACTTTAAATAAAAAAAATCGAGTCAGAAAATTACGTTACACCTAGATGTAAAATATACACACATATACATACGTACGCATGTACACACATTGAAGTAAAATAACTGTACCTCTCTTTTAACATAATTCTCATGTGTTTTCAGTCTGTTTTTTTTCCCCCCCTTTCCTGATGTAATGTTTCTTCAGTGACTATCATGGTAAACGGGAAGAGAGGCAGGGATTGATGTGGAATTCTGCTTATAATAAATTTGGTGCTTTTCCCCAAAAGCACTGAAATGGACAGTTGTCGGAGTCTTAGGGTCTAGGGAAGAATTATTTTTAAAAGACATAGTGTTAACTGCTACATGTAATGAATGTATATAATTGGTGGCTCAGTAAATTTTAGTCTGTAGTTATTTCACTTTCTTGTCAAAACTATAGATAGATACTTGATTATAAAAGTGCATACCAAAAGTATATTTCACATTTTCTCAAGGCATAAAAATACGAGGAAAGCAAAACAAACACATACCAATAAATCATCGATGCTGACCCGTAAGATGCTGTCATATACTCTGCCATCTTGACCTTCAATGTCACAATCAGATGATGCTACTGGCAACAGAGCAAGGATCAAGGGAGGAATTCCAAAAATATACCTAAAAGAAACTAAATTCAGCAGTAAATAAGAGTGAGCTAAACGTTACAGCATATTACATTTGATTGTGGTGTTTCCATAGGCTTGATTTCTAATAATTTTTAGATAGCATCCCAGTTTGGAAGTAGTACAACAAGAGCCCTAAAAGTTGAAATTATGTAACAACCAAAGTTTGAGAGAATTTTGGAACGTAGATGTTGTTCTTTTTTTTTTTTTTTAATATTGAAATTAGGGGGCAGTGCCTTTGGGTCAGTGGGTAGGGTCCCAGCCCCATATACTGAGAGTGATGGGTTCCAACTCGGCCCCAGCCAAACTGCAACAACAACAACATTAACAACAAAAAAAATAGATGGGCATTGTGGTGAGCCTGTAGTCCCAGCTACTTGGGAGATAGAATCTTAGGCCAGAGAATTCTTAGGCAAGAGAATCACCTAAGCCCAGGAGTTGGAGGTTGCTGTGAGCTGTGATGCCACAGCATTCTACCGAGGGTGATAAAGTGAGATTCTGTCTCTAAAATATATAGATATAGATATAGATATAGATATATAGGTATAGATATAGATATTACTCTACAGGAAAGAGCAAAAAGGGATAAGATGAAATCAGAGACTCCTTGTTCTGATAATCACGCCACGGTGTAATGATAATTTGTTCAGTTAGGTTTATGTTGAGCACTGCTTTAAGGAAATCCATCAATGTGTCAGGAGGCTTACTATAAAGACTTATCTGTTGTTTGAAATTTTGTGTTGTATGGCACACAAATACATAGTTTTGCAAAACATGATGATACTCCCTTTGTCCAGTTACTTTCTGGTAACTGTCATACCACGATATGACATTCATCTTCCTGGTACTGCACAGCAATTACAGTCTCTCTTTTTAAACCTTAATAACAGTGGTTCTCAACCTGTGGGTCACAACCCAGAGGAATTGTATTAAAGGGTTGCGGCATTAGGAAGGTTGCGAACCACTGCTTAAAAGGTTTACAGTTCCCAAAATGCCTCCAAAGTTTACATTTGTATTTTGGGACTTCTCTTGCTACCCTTTCACTCTCTCCCATTTCTAAACATCCACAGACTCTTTTCAAACACAGTTCCGTCCAGCTTCTTGACTTGTTAGAAAAGCTCAATAAATCAATTCAGCTCCTGGTAACCAGTGATTTATATCTGTTTTTGAAAACCCTTCCCAATGAGGGCAATTATCTAACCAAAAAATGAAATTATAAATGGTATCACTTTGGGTGGTAATGAGGGAAAGCCAGGAATTCCCAGGAACATTAAAATCTTCTCACGTAAGGACCTATTTCATCATAACCCTGTCATAGAGTCTTGTTTGCATCATTCTGTAAACTGTGTCGCACTGATAATATATTTCCTGCGAATTTCTCAGATGAACTTTAACTGTACTTGTTGAGTGCAAGACGTTTCTTTCACTTGTGTGTCTTCTCTGATAACAAGTACAAATAACACTCCTTAAAACCCAATGAACTTACTGCTACTGCAGCCTAAAGACTGTTAAGGATGCCATAAAGTTCTCAATAATCTTCTCATCGATTGTATCATTATTCATTATTTAAAAATCAGTAACGTTCCCCAATTAGCTGACTCCTATTTTTACAAACAGAGAACGTTGACCGGTAGTCGTTATTGGAACAAAGATAAATCCCGCTTTTCATTTTCATATATGACTGACACTTGACATAGTAGGAGCAACAAAAAGATCATGCAAGAGATATAAAATTTCCATAACTCTTCATACCTCTGCCGCTAAGTGCCTATATGAATGATAAGCAAGAATTCACTTGGGATATTCATCATGCTGATGCAAGTTAATTTTGATTGATTACCATGTACCAGGGACTGTTTATATACATATATATACACATAAAATATATATACTCTAAATATCAAAAGAGTCCTTAAAGTTAATCTTAGTGTCTGTAACACACAGGGAGTACGCACCAGGTCTGGATGCTGAGCCTGAATTTGTTGCCTCACCAGGATTTAATCCAAAATGTCCATATCTACTGAAAATATGTAACCATGTCTGTCTTCTGAATGAAAACCATGTCCTTCTAACATGGTGCAGTTTTTCCTCTGTCTTCTTCTAAAGTTTTAATTTTAGAAATCAGGGAAGTGAAGCTTAAATGATGAAGAGCCTCAGTCACAGATGGTTAATTATGCACTAGGTCAGACCTCATAATCAGGTTCGTGTAGATTAAATACAGCCAAACTTGTTATCTTTTCTGTCATCTTAAGTGTCTAAAGGTATATTTTGAGAGGAGAAGATGATGATAAAGAAAAAAATTATAAGGCATTTAATGTGAAATGAGTGTAAATGAGAATATGATTAAATAATTAAATAATAGAGTGCAAGAGATATTTTTGCTATTATTCTAAATGCTATTTCAGTCGTCAGCCTTTTATGTTTAATAAGTGGGATTATTTTATTTTTAAGGAACATTAACTGTCTGCTTTAGTAATAAGTGCTCCTAAATTCATCAATCTATTCATTCACTGGATGGAATTTGTCAATGCTTTCCAATGACAGGTTGTAAGAAATTTTTTTTTT